ACAACCTCATGGATGACTCTCACTCTGTCAAGGACCTGCAAGTACTCATTTCTAATGATTTAAGTGCCAGAGCTCACTGTAACAGCATTGCCAAAAAGGCATTAAGAGTTGTTAATCTAATCTTGTGAAGCTTCTCCGGTAATATTGTATTGCAAACTAGGGCATATAAAAACCTTTGCTAGACCTATTCTCGAATAAAGATCATCCGTCTGTAACCCGCACTGCCTATCAGACATTAATACAATCAAGTGAGTCCAGAGATATTTCACGAGAAGAGTCCTGCACTCCTCTGCTCATAGCAAAATATCTTATACCAACAGGCTTGAAATTTTGGGCTTAGACAACTTAGAACTACGCTGCCTCCTGTCTGACCTGAGTGTAGTACACAAAATTATCTGCTACAATGTCCTACCTGTCAATGACTACTTCAGCTTCAATCACAACAATACACAAGGACACAATAGATACAAACTTAAGGTAAACTGTTCCAAACTCGATTGCAGAAAAGACGACTTCAGCAACAGAGTGGTCAATGCCTGGAATGCACTGCCTGACTCTGTAGTTTCATCCCCAAACCCCCATAACTTTAACCTTAGATGTTTTCTGTTGACCTCACCCCATTCCTAAGAGGTCTTTAAGGGATGTGCATAAGTGCACCAACGTGCCTACCGTCTCTGTCGTACTTCTTCGTATCCATTTCCTGTATTCATAATCATGTTTATACTTATATCTATCTTATACATGTGTGACAATATAATTAAAATTAAAAAAGAATCTGTCTTGAATCAGATACGTTAGTTTTTATCAGAGGTGAGTCACCCCTTTGGCCACGAAGGAGCAGCACTCAATGCTCCTTTGCATCATGGGAAGTTGAGAGAGAGGGTTGTTTTTTTTTTCAATACGCCTATTTTGACCATTTTCCTGGTCTTTTTATATTTCAAAATGGTGGGGAACTGGGCTGTCCACTGTAAGCAATCATGATCCGAAATGCTTCTATGCGGTAGAAGTTACCTAACCTCAACTAAGCAATTCAAACTGATATTAAAGTAACTTCTATTAGAGCCAGTTTTCAAGAATTTCCATAGCTCTAGCATTTACTGATTTTCAAGGAAAGAATTAACATCCCTACTGGACCATTAATGAGGTTTCAGAAATCAAGAATAAATAACAGTGATTTGGGAGTGGGGAATCACAGGAGAAAGCATAATCATAGAGATGACCTAAACTGCTAATTCACTGAAAAAGTCATGAAGCTTAAGTGAGATTTTCTGTTTCAGAAATTCTTATCTCTAAAGACAAGTATAATCACTCCATCCTATGGTCCATATGTAGATTATAAGGAGCTTAAGTACCATTTTATGACTCCTTGGCACAGTATGATGTGGTATCGTGGCAATTCAAACCAAGCAAAGATGGCACTTCAAACCAAAAGAATGCCTTCAAAAATTAGCTTCGTCTATTCTATAATTGTCCTGCATTCTGTGTCCCTTAGTTTAAAAAAAAAGTATCAGCCCCACCCGTTAAAGAATTGGCTGGTCTTGGTCTGAGAGAACTGGCGAGATGAACCAAACATCCACAGAGAAGCATCTCCCTGAAGTTTCCTTCTTTCTGGAATAAATCCGGAGAAATGAGAAGACAAGACTTCTTACTTATGAAAGATGACTTCTGAGTTTAAGGTAGAAAGCCTCCATGGTAACTTTCTTTCTTCCAGTAAGATAAAGAATGGACAGAAATATGAAAATAAAACTTGGGGAAAAAGCAAGAATAGTTGAGTAAACATCTGTTTACTTAAAGATGAAAGATGAGGGGGGAGGGGAAACCCCAGGCCCATATTGATTCTCTTTGGTACAAGAG